TTTTCATTGCAACAGTTTTTGTTATGGTCCTCGATTTTTACGCGGAAAGCGTATGTTTCCAGGTGAGTGAATTTAGCGATAACCGTTCCTTCCTTTTCAAGTAATGTGTGCTTTTTGTAGCACGTAGCTGATCCCGTAATGGCAGCGGCTCGATGGTCTCCTGTGACGATGTTCAGTTGTGCTCTTGGTTTGGCTTGGGTGTGGTACGCCGGTCAGGGATTGGAAGACCATCATGTGACCTCCGGCGTTATTATTACTGTAATAGCGTTCGTTTTAGGTGAGCCTGCTTATTTTGTTGAGTTTGCAGTGAGCGTTCACCGTGAGACTAAAACTTTAATGCTTGAATTCATATTCTGTTAACCGAACCTGACATTTCAGCTTCGGTATCGTTAACATCCGCTGGTGGTCCAAAGCATAGAGGCGGTGAGCTGATTGGAATGTCTGATAGCGGAATGCCCCTTTTCGCATATAAAGAGGCATTTCTTCAAAAGACTGGTCGATCACTAATTTTGTTTTTTAAGGTAATACACCATTTTATAATAACATTGGAAGACTGTAAGCTCTACTGTACATTTACGCGTAGTCCATTGAGGTCTTTGCACCTCAAGCATGCAGCGAAAGCTGGTCTGAGAAAGTAAACACAGAAAAGAGAATCTTCACTCATTGCACCATAACCGCATCAGTGTCTTATGCAAGCGGAGTTTATAGGACACACTTCGCGAAATCTTGGCTAATTCTGATTCCCGTCGAATATTTTGGTTCCTTTGTGTCAACCTATCATTCTGCGGTGTCGAATTTCTGTACGGATTCTGGACAAACAGTCTTGGACTGATTTCTGATGGATTCCACATGTTATTTGACTGCTCAGCACTAGTAAGTGCATTCATTCTTTGGATGTGGTTTTTCGAAATGGAATCCTTTTACACAACGCAGTAATTCAGGTGATGGGTCTTGTCGCCGCAGTTATGTCCCGCTGGCCTGCTACTCGACACTTTAGTTATGGCTACGGACGAGTTGAGGTGTGTTTAATTTAATTTTTTTCACGCCTTTTCTAAGGTTGCTTCCCTTCTGACAATCATTAAATGACTCTTCAGGTCCTCTCTGGATTTATCAATGCATTATTTTTATGCGTCATTGCTTTGTTTATTTTACTTGAAGCTCTCGAGAGGTTGTTCGACCCACCCAATATCAACACTGATAGGCTTCTTGTACGTTTGGTTTTTCTCTCTGGTTGCGTTTATTTCTACTCGCAGTAACTGTCCGCCGTTGCATACCAACGTCACATCGAGGGGCTGCCCCACATTAGGCGTCGCATATATGTACGACGCCCCGGACGGAGCCCTAGGGCCAGAACACGGGGGTTGTTTGTGGGGAAAGCGCTGCGATTTCGAACTGTTCCCGTGGGTAGAAGTAAACTACCTTTCTTCCTGATCAACACCCTAGAATCAAGCTCATTCGAATCGTCTCCTTTTTACTCAAAATTTTTTAGTTTGTTGCGATCTCGGGTCTGCTAGTCAATTTATTCGGAATGTACTCCTTCCACGGTGGCGAAGGAGATCATGGACATGGCCACTCTCATGGTGGTGCTTCTCATGGGCATTCCCATTCAGGAAACGCGAATATGGAAGGTGGGTAGAACCACTTAACTTAGCGTTCGATTAAAGTCCTTTGTGACTTATGGGATTCTGCTCAAAAGCCCTTTTGCAGTTTAATTCCTCTGCTTTCAATTTGCGATTTCAGGAGTATTTCTTCATGTTTTGGCTGATACCCTTGGCTCAGTATTCGTGATCATTTCAACACTACTTATCCAGTGGTTTGGATGGACATGGGTGGATCCACTCTGCTCCTTGATCTTGTCAATTCTAATTCTCGGATCAGTATATCCTCTTCTTACGAGTAGTATCAATACACTTTTACAGGTGATTTTTTATTTAATTAGCTTTAAGGCAACTCAGAGTTTTCAAGAACTCGTGTGCATCATTTCTTCTAGGATATTCCGGACGACGAGGAATTCGAGCATCATCTTTGCGAAGCTTTAGAGGTATTCTACGGTTTTTGTCACATATTCTACTTAACTACGACCTTAAAGGAGGGCCAAGCATGGTGATGATATAATCGCCAAAGTACTTCCGAAGGATCTTCAAACAGCTGGCAGCTAGTAGTTTCAAGCTCAGAAAATTTGAAGTGGGCACTGCACCGTCCACGAGCGCATAGTTTTTTGTATACATGCTGTCCCGTTTGTGCATAAGATTATAGGGAATATATCATTTTCCTTTTCATCTACATGCATTTGCGACTTTCTCCCAGAAAGGGTAATTGTACGTCCTAGTAGATACTCTGCCTAGTCTAGATTGCCGAGCCTATTCAGAACAATTCCTGCGAAAGCTGACGATGAAAATATTTCTGATGTTATAAGACTTTTTTAAAACCTGCTGCCAAGATGTTAAATAAGTTCTTATCAACTTACGTTTCGGCGTAATCGCCTTCTTCAGAGCCTGGAAACCTGTGTATTATCATTATCCATCCTTCATTCAACAAATAAACCTCAGAAAACCGGTTCCCTAGACTAAATGTCTCCAAACCGGCATGATAACCCCAAACATGTTTAACCCACCTTTAAGAACAGCCGGTCGTTTGGTCGACAGCCGCTAAACTGACCCATAGGCACTTGGGGTAGCTTTGGATGATATGCCCTATCCCTCTCGCCGTGATACTGGGGGCAAACAAAACCCACAGAGGTCAGAGAAAGGCGCGAGTTCATTAGCTACGGCCAGGCACTCCTCTTTCCTATTCATTTTTGGGGACTTGGCGCTGATGAAAAATGCCTCAAGTGTCTTTCGCGCCGAAGTGAGGGGTTCCCGCAATAGGATCCTGACTGTAATTCCAAATACCGCACCTTTATGGGACTCTACTCGGTGAGCACCCAGGGGGGTCTCCACCCTTGCTCGATTTAAGCCCTCCAGATGTTCCTTAACCCTGACGCACAGGGGTCGTCCGGTCTCTCCAATATATTCATCCTCACACAGATTGCATGTGAGCAGGTAAACGACGCCTGATGTCATGCAGTCACCCTCCTGTCCATTAGGGCAGACCACGCAATTCAATTCGGCGCATCCCTCCAAAACCAAGCGAGCTATCAAAAGTAACATGTTTAAGACGGCCATATCGGTGTCATCCGGGAGGCAGGAGAAAG